GTGTAACACACTTTTTATGATTTATCCCATATCCCAATGATTTGATTAGTTTTGAGGGTTAATAGGGGAACATTTTGGTGTCTATTCTGTTGCTTGAACAAGTCTTTTTGGGAAGTGTGATCTACGTTATGCCTTATGATTTTGAATTTTTAAACATTTATATATATTTACAGTTTCTAATAAATAATGTTCTTGTAACCGCAACGAATAGCCATTGTCGTTAAAATATAGAGGTTATTGTTGGAAAAATGTGTTAAAATTGTATTAAATGATCATTTTGGGGCAATTTTTTGAGTGGGGTCCACTTCCAATTTGATTCGGGTCAAAGTGGTTTTAGATTGTCCTTGTTAAGGGCTACAATTCGATATATGGTATACTCAAAACAGATAACGGGTGAATGAGAAATTGATTCTCGAAGTTTACCCGTTAGAATGGAAAAACGAGGAAAAAGGATGAGTTTCTAGTATGTTAATTTCCCACACCAGAAAACCCAAGGGATTTGCAACCCTTTATAAAGGGAAACCCCCTCTAAGGAGTTAAGATTCCTGAAGGTAAAGTCTCTCTCTCGCGCGGGGGGCGCAATAGAACTGCTCGAACAGAAGGCTTGGTCCTCTACTACGGAGCTCGGACAGAAGACATCGGGGTCCTCTGCTGTGGAGCTCGGACAAAAGCCCTTGGGGTGTCCAACGTTCTTATCTTTTAATGCGTCTTTAAATGGACAGTTTCACGACATATTAATGTCCAACGTGCTGGTCATTTATGTCCAACGTTCAGGTCCATTAAAGGTCACTTAACACACAACAAATCCTCCTATAAATTGGCTAGTAGGTGGTTTACAACAACACACATTCACAAATGAACTCACGCACTTTTGAGCTCTCAAAAAACACTGCTACCATTCTGAAAAATTCTTTCTATGTTCATACTTTTTCTTCTCCGCTAGAACTTTTGTTTGTATGCTCAAACAAAAGTTTGTAGTCATCGTATCTTGGGAAACGATTCTTGCAACGCTCCTAGCACCGTGGGAGGCAACGAATATGTTTTAAGGATATCGTGCGTAGCACGAGCTTTGACTAATTTCTGCTTCATTTTATTTCTGTTTTTCTTTCGTCATTTTAATTAATTTATTTTAATTAATTTTCTTTATTTTCCGAAACACACCCTACAGTTATGTGATGGACACAATAATTCTTTATGTTTTATAGAATACTTATAGTAATTTGTACTAGAAAAAGAGAGGAGCTAGAGTACATAAGAAACTCAATATGCATTTGGTAACGTGAAGTATGATCAATAGGAGGCACTTCCGGGTCAACCGTTGATGGCACTAGAGTCATTGTGTGCTTCAAAATAAAATCAATACTATCACTTATGTCATTGTGTGCTTCAAATTAAAATCAATACTAGCACTTATGCGTGTAAAATTGTAAGGTTCATATCCACAGGGAAAGAATATTTATCATTTATAAAATTGTAACAAAAGAGGTTTTTAAGATTGTTTGAACTTAAGAATAATTAAACATTAAAATGAACGACTTATGTGATTTAAATAAATGAGATAGATATGGGTGTCGAGAATAACTGAAGTGCGACCGTGAATCCGTGATCTTCTTTTTCCCTACGCTTGTGCGGCAACGAATGCTGCTGGCGGTGGGGCACGAGATAGCGGCCGGCTCATTGCGGCCAATCTTGGCAGCGGCTGTAAGGGAACCCTTCCCCGGCCAACGCCTGCAATCTCAACCCGTTTCCTTCTCCGACATCGACTTATAGAAAATCCAAGCCAAGAATGGGTGTTTCAAAGGATTCCCGGCAGTCAGCTTCTCTGACTCCGATATTCAGGTTCTTTCGCTTAATTTCCGTTTCGCTCTTGTTGGGACCTTCCGCAATGGCTGACCCTCCCCTTCCCGCGATTAGGAAAGCTATGGCGGAATTAAGGTTCCCTCATCCCTATTCGGTCGGGCTTCTCTATTCGCATATAATTCTTTTTAATTTTGACTCTATTTCTGATTTTCAACGATTTTGGATTAAAAATTCTTGGGATTTTTATGGACTTATGATGAATCTAACGAGATGGACTCCATCCTTCTCTGTTCATTGTGATTCCCCCTGGCACCTATTTGGGTGGCCCTTGAAGGACCATCGATTCACCTCCATGATGCTAGGGCACTTTTCCCTATAGGAAGTCAATTTGGGAGACCCCTAATTATTGATACACCAACTGTCAATTTTTTTAGGCCCTCTACAGCCAGGATTTTTATTGAAATTGATGTCTTAATAGCACTTGCCTCTAAAATCTGGATTGGCAATGGAGACCAAAGATTCTTTCAATCTGTATTGTATGAAAAACTACCTGTTTTCTGCACTTATTGCTCTCGTTTTTGCCACAACAAATCACATTGTATCTAGCATGAGATAACAGGACCCCTCATCTGAGAGTTGCAGTTGCCTATGATGCCCCTGTTGTTGGTCATATTGTTGCTCATGATGCAGTTCTGATGCCCCTGTTAATGCCCAAGTTCTTGGGCTGGTTACTAAAACCCATGTTATTGATGCCTCTGTTAATGCCCCAGTTCTTGATGCACCTATTATTAGCCAGTTTCTTGATTCCCCGGTTGTTGATGCCCTTGTTCTTGGGCTGGATACTGATGCCCTTGTTATTGATAATGCCCCCTGATAGAGTATATGGGCCTGGACCCCATGGCCCACATACTCAAGTCAACGATGACCAGAAGAATGTCCACGTGGCCCCCTTCGGCCCAGTGGGACCCGCATCGGTCATAAACCAAACCGGCCCAGAACTCGAGTCTGGACTTCCGGGACCGCGTCGGCCCATGGACCGCATCGGCCAGAAACCAAACCGGCCCAGAGCACGAGTCTGGACTTCCGGGACCGTGTCGGCCCATGGACCGCATCGGCCATGGGGCCGCATCGGCCAAAGTGCACTGCATCGGCCAGACTTCGTCCTGGCAGAATACATCTCTCTACTTTATTTACTAAGTATTGTACTCAGCCCATTAGTAGCGCTATTTCGCCCAAGGAAGGCATGATTATTGTAATGAGCCTCCTAAGCACATGGCTACGAGCCCAAATCCACATTTTTACCTATAAATAGACCTCTTGGGGCTAGCTATAGAGGGTTGAGAAATATAATTACTCACTTTCTCTTTCTAGCTCTCACATCTCTCTAGAATTGATACTGATATATATCCCGACTATTAGTAATGTCCCTTTTAGTGTACCTCTTGATGCTCAGGATTCTGCCCATGATGCTTTTGAGCATTCTGTTTGTACTATGGATAACCAAAATGGTCCGACTGCTTTTAATATTCTTGAGGATGCCTCTGAGGATGATGGTATTACTAGCTACTCTACTAGTGATGGGAAACATGCCACTGATTGCGGGATAAGTGTTGCCTCTGAAACCGAGAACGTTGCCTATGAAAATGCGTTGATTGCCCGTGACAGTTTAATATGTGAGAATGTCAATCGTGACGAAGTTGTCTGTGACGAAACTACCTATGATGAAGCTGCTAACGCTTGTGAGGCTCGAAATGCATATGAGATCCCTATGGTTAACAAATTTGACTTTTTAAGTCAAACCTTGGATTCCGGAAATGATAAACCTTCTTCTGATCCATCAGCCCAAAATGTAGTCCTAGAAACTGCCCCAATAACACAATTCATAGGTCCAATGATGACGCTATTTCTGAGGATCTTTCAACTATTTCTCAAACTAATGCAGGTTCAAAAGAAAATTATCCCAAGAAGGGGGAATGTCCAGAAGGCTTCACGCAGGTCAATGCAAGCCATAACATAAACAAAAGCTCCACCAAACTCCAAACGGACAACCAAGAAGATCAATAACAATTTTATGTAGTGGGTTGGAATTCACACTCCATGATCACAAGAAGTCAATCCGGGAAACCACAAAATGAAGTTGACTACTTCCTTTACCCGGTAGATGCAAGGTTCGACTCACCTCACAGACTTGCTCAAGCTTTGAAACGCTACAAGTCTTCTCACCCAGAGGCTTCTACCAACCTTATTTTCAGAAGGAGATTAAGTTTCATAATAAATACAATAGGTCCATCTCAGCTTCGCTTCGAATACCTTCTGAAAATTTTAATTGTTAAGGACTTTCTTCTTTTAAATTTCCCTTGTAATTTTCATTATCCTTTTTTATAATAAAATTAGGAAGTGTTCCCCGGCACTTCCTCCAGCATGAGTGGTTTGCTACGGGACAAAAAAATGAGATAAAAGACTTGACTTTGCTACTTTCCACATGTTGAGATGTTTGTCGATCATGGTTATATCTTTAAATTGTCCACTCTCGAATACCCAATCATGGAGTATCTCCAATTCATCGAGGTAGTTATTAATAACGAGACCGTTCATTAACAACTCTTACTATTAGCCAAGTATAGTACACCGCCATATACCGACTTGATAGTAGCATTTAATCTCTTAACTCCTTGATAAAATCAATTGAGATTTTTAACTTTAACACGACGGTTTCGGTTTAACTAACACAATTGATCCCTCTTTAGATTATTAATCATGAGACCATGCATTAATAACTCGAAGTTACTTAATTGTGAAACCATTATTGATTAATCATTGATTCATTGATCATTTTTAGTGGTAATTAATGTCAAGATTTTAACTAATCGTCACGTGCCAAGTACCTTGTGGTCTGATGGCATCACCGTTGATCACCCAAAGAGGAGATCACGGGTTTGAATCTCATCCCAATCAAGGATGTTGGCATTAACTAGAGTAGATACTATGATAGGTTTAGAAGGATATGCAAAAAAAAAAAACTAATCATCAATTAGAAACACTCTCCAACATTAATATATAGATAGAATAAGGGAAGAATTAATATTCAAGGGAAGAAGTTAAGAAAATAACACACAACTTTAACATTCAACAAGCTTCAAGACCAAAACCGAGAAATAGGAGTTTAGCTCCTCATTCGGAGACGAAGCATGCTAGGAATGATGAAATGTGAAGGAAAAGTGTATTATTTATAGGTGTTTTCGTCAAGCTGCACCGGATACCCAATCGGGTATTGGTCAAAATCAAATCTTCACCCACATCTTTGTGTTGATGAGCACGTCTATTTTCCCGAAGTCAAGTCATAACGAACCGGGTGAAGGTACATACCCAACCAGGAATGAGTGCAGTTTCGCAGCAGCTTTCAATTTCACTTCATACCCGACCGAGTAAAGACCATACCCGACCGGGTATGTCATCTGGGCAGATTCCTTGAGTGCAAAGTTCTTCATCAACATCACTAAGTTTCATACTACTTTGCAACTTACAAATGAAAGCTAAAACACAAAAACAATTCAACTCAAACAAATGATTACAAACTCATAATAAAGGTAGCTGAAAAATTGTGAATATCAACCATCAAAGCAAAAAACACAACTTATGCACTAACAATTACTGCATATCAACCATCGAAGCAAAAAAAGCAAATTGCAGTTAAAGACGGAACCGACACCAAACACGGACCAAACCGGCACTGGAAACGGGCAGAAAACAATGACTGGCAGCATGCCCACTTGTTTTATGAAGATATTAAGAGCCTCAAAACCAGTACTGAACACCCCCTAACCGGCATTGGATCTGCCCAAATCTGCATAAAACACCACGACGTGCAAGATTCTTGAATTGAAGTGAAGATAATTGGAGAGCATGGTTCAGATTCCCCCCCCCCCCTTCCCCCCAACTGATTAAGGATCATGAATAGACTATTAGAAGCCATTTTCTATCCTATTTAAACCATCCAATCTATCCCAAAGAATCAATACATTAGTTAGTTACTAGCTTTTATATTTATTCTTTCTTTTCTATGGTGTTCTTGAGTTTGGGAAACTCATTTTTTGCAACCATTGATGCTTAAGTAATATTTTCTTTGCATTTTCATTTCCTTTTACATTTGAAGTATTATAATCTTGATTAATATGAGCATTAGAGACTAAATCCTTAAGTCAAGAATCGGGATGAATCTACGCCCACTTATTTTTCCTATTTATTCTAGGTCAATGTATTATGATTTATTCTGCTTAAAATTTAATTATCCATAAATGTTACACAATATAATAGCATAATCTATGTCTTGATATGAAGTAATTAGCGTTGAATATCTACCGGTGACTAGAAGAATAATTCGCATTTTACTCTCCTTACAAATAAACCTATACATCTATGATGCATAATATCTAGAAGTTTATATAGTCAAAGAAAGTTGTAGTATAGATCGTTCTCCAAAGGATAGACCATACAAGTATTGAATATGAAAACTTATCCGAACTTGTATGATATATGCGTGATATCTTAATGAAGATTTTTCTAGATGAATGTCTGACATAACAGGACTCACACATAGCGAACTTCACACTCTCTGCCTTAACCTAAGTCAAGAATATAAATATATAATAATGATATCGTACTCATAAGAGTTTATTGAACTCTAAAAACATTTAAGTGGATTTCAATGTCTTGATTATGTTATCATACATTCAAGAGAAAGTCTCCACACTTTACATCTTTTCTATAGTTTAATTTTCAAAATATGAGCTTTACTAAACAAACATTCTCTTGCGGATCAACCTGGTATCTTATCGGTATTATTACTACAATTGACGCTTATACATCCTCAAAGCCGGATTACTATGCTTAAATGCCTAGGTTTTTTTCCTACATAGGTTGGTTTGAAAAGTTGTTGTGAGGGTACTGATAGTTAAAGAGAAAAGCTTTGTGTTTTCCAGCAGCTCCAGTGTCATACTCGCCGACGAGTCCGCCTGAGGACTTTCTTCCGGTTCACTTTTATGGTCTATTTGGCCATCTTCCCGTTTATCATCAACTCTTTTCGCCAATATAGGCTCCATAAATAATGCTTCTTTGTTCCTGAAGCTTTGTTTCAAGTCACTTTTTTGTCCCCGTCGCAGTTAAGCTATGCTATAGGGTTCTTCTTAAGGGAAAGCCGCGTTCACGAATTCCCGAATTTACGGATTCCCGAATTTAGTGGCCTACAAGGGTAATTTGAAGATTTCAAAAGATTTTTTTACAGATTGTGGGGATTTTTCACTAGATAGATGATAACCCGCTTTCGCGGCGTTGTAGTAAAACGGAGTCTAACCTTTCGGTTTTTCCCCGAGTGTCGTGTCTCTTGAGGAATGGCGGAGAAGTTTCTTGATTTAATTTTAGTCACGGGCTATCGCTAATTGTTGGAAGCTTTTTCAATATAGGAAAGTGATTTTGTTCTATATTACGCTAAATTATAACTAGGAGCAAGGGCAATTTAAAGATTAATGTATTAAGATTGAATATTCAAGGATGCAAATAAGGGCAATGAATTGAGTAATTAGAAATGGATATGTTCTTGGACCTCTTAATTAGGGAAATTAAGACTAAAGTTGGACTAATAATTTCTTTTCTCATAGACAAGAATAGAAACTATCTTCATTAATTTATCCTATTTCTAGGTGTCATTAATGTGTTTAAAATGGTTGGCTTAAATTATTTTCTAAACCCATAGACAAGGTAGAAATAATTTTCCAATATTTTAATTAATAAAAATAGCCAAATTCATTAACTAGTTAAACTCTTTATTTTAGCAATTGAATTTATTTCTCATAAACAAGATGTAAATCCTTTTCATTAAATTATCCTATTTCTAGGCTTTATTAATGTGCTAAAATATGGTTGGCTTAAATTAATTTCTAATCTCATAGACAAGTTAGAATTAATTTTCCAAGAATTTAATTAATGGAAATGGCTAACTATTATTAATTACTATTTCATCATTTTAAACAACTAGTCCAATTTATTAGTTTTAACCCCTAATTTTAGGTCAACAAGTCAATCCATATTCCTTTTCTCAATTCATGCCCTAACAAATTTAGCTACTCATCATCATTTTTACAATTAACAATATAATGATTAAATTCAACATGAACAAGGAATTAAACATGTATGATAGCAAAAATTAAACAAAAATTATATTCTGGAACAATAAACTTGTAGGAACTAAAATATAACTTTCTGGAAATTTTTACCAATTTTTGAACCTAAAATCCAATTTTTGACAACTAATTGATAATTTTCCCAATTTTAACTAGAAAATGCAAAAAGCAACTAAAAATATGCTAACTTCGTTATAAATTTTATTTTAGCTACTGGGAGTGATATTACTATGAATCAAACTGAAATTAGGGCCGAACTCATTTTTTTTCTATTTTTCTAGTATTTATTCTAAATTATGAACTAATCTCAAATAATTACCAAAATTAATTAAAAATTACTTATGCTTCGTTAAAAATTAATTTCTTCAGATAAATAACTACCTTGAGGCTAGTGAACAACTATATAATTAATTGGAATGAATTCATCAACAATAACTATTTTATTTAATTTTTGGAAGTAAATGCGAAATACTTGAAAAATAATCTGGAAATTTTCGAAGAACAGATTGAACAAACAAAGTGCAGATTCAGATTCTACTCGTTGAGAAGATGAAAATACATATAAAGAACTTACAATTTGGAGCTAAAATGAAGAAGATATGAAGATTTGAAGTTTCTCTCTCTCTAAGACCTTTGGAGCTCGAAAATGGAGGAAGAAAGAAGGTGTTTTGAACTGATTTAGGGTTGGAAGAGGTGTGTTTGAGTTGAGGAAAAATCGGGCTATTTATAGGAGAAATTTCCCCGAAGGCGGCCAACCAGGCGGCCGCCTTCCGCCTCTCTCCGGCCGCCTGCCGTCTTCGTCGCCGACAGCGGTCGGTGGCCGGTCCCCGTCAGCCGTAGGCGGCCACAGAGGGCGGCCGCCTTCCGTCACACATCGGCCGCCTGCCGTCTTTTCAGTGTCAAATCGGATCGCGGCGGATCCCGGCGGATCCCGGCCGCCGCAGGCGGTCCAGCAGGCGGCCGCCTGCCGTTCCTGTCTGGCCGCCTGCCGTCAAATCCCACCGGCCGGCGGTTGCTTCGTCGTCTTCTACCGCAGGCGGTCACCGTAGGCGGCCGCCTTCCGTCCAGTGTCGGCGGCCTACGGTCTTTTCCGAATCCGGTCAAAGTCAAAGTTTGACTTTCCAAAAATACCGTAGGCGGCCGCGAAGGCCTTCATTTTGGCCGCCTTCCTGGCCGCCTGTGAGATTATTTGTCCGGCTTGTTCCTTATTTTGTGCTCTTCAATATTGTCTTCTGGACCACTTTGAAATAATGTCTCCTTCTTTCGGTATGATATCATTTGTTGCTCAAATTGGCTCATTTTGTGCTCAATCGACCCGAAATTCCGACAAACATACGATGAATGTGGTTTTCACCTGATTTCATGAAACTTGAACCAAAATATCTAAAACATGCCTTTTCTTTCTATTTTCAATCAAAAATCGCTTAAATTTGATAAGAAAAATAAGTACAAAAATGGACTTATCAATCTCCTCACACTTAAGCGTTGCTTGTCCTCAAGCGACGAATTAGTTGGAAACACACTCAAAAAGGGAAAACATGACTATATTACAATCGAATTGCTATTAAAGAAGTAGAAACAAAAACCTCTCTTTTATTCTCAATTTTTTTTTATTTTAGAAAAATCACCCAAGATATATGAATTTACTATTATTATTACTAAAGAAAACTATTGATTATGTTAAACCACCGATCAATTCCTTATCCCAAGGTTTTCATTATTCTAATTTGGACATTCATCTTGTTCACCATTTTTTTTTTTTTTTTTTTTTGCTCTTTTTCACTCTTGTTGGCGGTGTTATCCCATGGTAAATGCATATTTCATTCTCACAGACTGTGATTAACGAATGAAACAGAGCCCCTTTTCGGAGATGGAATTGTCCTATAACAATGAGTTTTGAAGAGGTTTATTAATAGTAACATTTTTTTTTATGAAAAAAAATGAATGTCCAATTAAAACAAATTCAGACCTTTACATTCGCAACCAAAAACCCATAACAATTTTAAGTTTTCAAAAATAATAATAATAGTAAATTCTTATAATAAGGGTGATTTTCTAAACTATTTTGTGAATTGATAACAAATTGAGAAATTAATGTTTCATATCAAAAATAGTAAAAAGATTGTTCTAAAACAAGGTTTTGACTTTTGAGTGTAAAACGCAACCTCCTCACACTTGAGCTGGACCTCGCCCTCGAGGTCTTCTTTTGAGGCACAAAATTGGGAAATAAAGGCACATTTTTTTTTTTTTGGTTCTTTCCTCACACTTGAGTTTTGAAAAGATTTTGTGAAGAGAAATAATGAAACAGGAGTAAAATGGTTTTTTAAAATCCTTACATCATCCATAGTCAGTTTGTAAGAGCATTCAAGTCAAAAGAGCAGCGCAATGTCCAACCTGAAGAACAAACAAACATGATAAAAATGTTAAGGAAGAAGCAAATCTAAACATCGCCTGCGCCATCCTGGGGGCCATAGTGTGGCCTAAGCCAATCTCTCATCTCATCAATATCTAGCCTCTGGGTCTCTAGCTCCGCCTGCATATCCTGGGTGGCTCTCTCCTGAGCTAATCGAAAGTCTCTGAACTCTCCCAGGGCCGTCTCATGCGCCTCTCGCATCTCCTGGAGTCCTCTGTCCTGTGCAACCCGCATCTCTGAAACTGAAGTCTGGAG